GATTTACATTAAGGGCGTCTGCTTAAGTAGATTTTGTCTTAAAACAAGTTGTTTGTTTAAATTTTAAAGGCGCAAGTTGGAAATTTGCACGTTGCTCATTATCTGGGCAAGTTGTTTTTTCTTTCAAGTTTGGCTTCCTCATAGAGAAAGCTTTGTATTAAGTTAAGGTGCAAATTGAAAATTGCTTCCGCAGAATTTTTTTTCGCGCACACCCTTGGGACAATCTACCGTAAATGAAATTAAAGTCTCCAGAAGTAATATTTCAAATTCGAAAGTTTACTTAAAGAAGTTAAAAATTTATTTAAAAAATTTTAGAGTAATTTTGGACGCTTGAAGTAATTTTTAGATAGCCAAGTCTGTCGAATTTCTCGCTAGAGGGCCGCGTGGCATAGCACTTTTTCTCGTAAGAAGAAAACCGCACGCGGTATTATAAATTATACCACATACTTTTCACAATTCTTAAAGTTTTCCTTTAAATTCTCAAAGTAAGTTTCGAGTTTACCTTAAATAAAAGTTTAAAGTGTCCAAATTTACTTTTTGTATTTCTTATTTTTCTAAGGTATATTTTCCCAAGGGCACAAAGCTTTCTCTATAAGGAAACCATATAAGTCCCTAATTCTCAAAATACCTATCCAGTTGCACACAATGAATCCTACAAAACTACTCTTACGAAAAAAGCATTGAATAATTACTGGAGTTCGGTAATTGAATCGTTAGAAATTGCTGATGTACAGTAATTTTCTAGTAATTATTTCGCTTGCATTTCTCTAAGGGTAAGACTGCGACTATCGTAATTTGAAAAGGGCCAATAAATAGCTCGCCGTACACATTTTTGTGCAATGGCATTCTTGTCGTGAAAAAAATCCGTTCGATAATAATGACGTGGGGGACTAATTAGAAAATTCTCTCGAGCGCGCGATATCGTCGAAATAAGCGAAGCCGATAAATCCACGGCTACTAATCCATAGGCAAACGCGGTCATTCAATTATCCCGTACTCGGATCTCTCCCTGGAGATCTGGTCGCCGGAGATACGGCGGGCGGATTGGCACTCACGTAAACGTCGAAAAGAGCGGAAAACAGTGGCGGGGAGGAAAGAGGGTACCGTCGACTGAAACGAGGAGCTCAAAAGCGAGTGTCGTCACCGTTGGTAAATGCAGCGTTATCGTCCCCCGTCGTTATATACCGCAGGCCGTGCACCGTTATCGCGTTTTATCAGAACCTAGACCGCTGAAAAACCACCCTTACTCTCGCCACCGGTCTCGCGATGTCTCCTCTCACGCGCTTCCTCCCCGTCCGGCGTGTTTGCTTAATTCGATTCCGCGCCGCCGCGCAACGTAATAGAAATAATAGAATTCGTCTGGCGGAACGATAGCTCGAGTTGTTGTTGCGACCAAAAAATGCAAAATGAGAACGAGAGGAGGAAGAAAAACTGTTGGGTTGCGCGATACGAGATAATTCCCGTGTTCCGAAACAGATATATCGACGTTTTCAGTTAATAATCGCGCGAATCCGCGCACGTTCTATTTATAATCCTGAAATAATAAGTCGATAATGATGTGACTGTCAAGTGCGACGCTGAGAGATACGAACAATTCTACTCAATTTCATCCGTAATTAACTGTCGTGCGAGAAATGTGTTCCAAAAATATCCTACTGTTCCGCAAGATTTTCAAGTTACAGTAAGGTACTGAAAATAAAGCTGTCTCTAAAATTATCATAATTGTGAAAAGATATTAGCATGAGGAACTTGATAAGAGGGAACTCGAGATTGAGACTGTGTGTGTTTCGAAACACGTCCACTCTATTTCACAATTTTTCTAATCTGCGAGAAATGAGACGTATTATGAAGGTTGTTTCGCTGCAGCACCGGGCTGGATGAGCGTGAAAGAAATGGATTCGGGAAGAGAAATTGCTTCTCTTAGGGACGCAAAGGCAGCTCATTATTTTAATTTCTCTCAGTTACACGCCCATACGTGCACGCTTTGCTTTCGAAGATTACTCGAATTCTCTTTCAAATTATTCTATTGCATGACATCTTAAGAAATGATAAATATATGACGTGTCGAACATATTTCGTTCTGCTTTGCAACTAAATAAAGTTCCAAAAAGTTTACTACATGGAGAAAATTGTCTCTTAAAATAATGTAAACGTGAGACAACACGGCGTTTTGAACTTTATGAGAGTATAAAAAAAATTTTATTAAACATTTTACTAGCAAAATGTATGGTAAAATTTCACAAACTCTCGTAAAATTATTCGAAATGTCATGTTGTCTCACGATTACATAATTTTCAGAATAAATTTTGATACAGAGAAATGACAGTTCTTTTTTAATTTAAATGCTAATACCATCAAGTAAGATAGAGCAAGCGTATCGCCAATGTAAGTTAATTAGTTATAAAATACATGTATATTGCGAATATATTTATCAATTTAAAAACGCGCATAATTTATGATACAAAAGTATTGAAAGACAATTACGAATCGGCCCTCACAAAATCTTTCCCTAAAACAACGGGGAAAGTTGCCAACGAGTTCGAACGCGTTGCATTTCATAAAAGGTAACTTTACTTGTTACCTTTTCTGTTATTCTTGTATATCCTTTTCTCCTACTGTTAAACGTTCTCCAGTTGTATATTTCAGGAGGAAACAGGTGCGCGGAACTCAAGGTTGCAAATCCCGCGCGGGACGCGACACTCGCGGAGCGAGCGCTGTCGCGCAACTTTCCGTGCCGCGGTCCTTAACAAACTCGTGAAAATTTTTCATTTCTATACCGTGCTCGTTACAAGGGCCCCGTTTCTCGTCGCCGCCGCGTCGCTGACACCCTGTAACGACACACGGGCGACGGTTGTTCTCAGCGCGGCGCGACAAATTTGCAAAAGTCATACAAATCGCCGTTGTACACCTGTACCCTGTCGGATTCTCAAAGTGGAATTAGTCGAAACTTTCCTCAGACCTCCCGCAAATCATTCCCGCCCTCCTCCGGCCAGGCCATCCGTTACGGAAATCCTACCCCGTCTCGACGAATTTCAGCGAGGGGTAGATGGGACGGGGGAAACTCCGAGAAAGAAATGCCTCGAGGACTTGAGACATATTTCGCGACGGGTTCGCTCCCCCCAGGAGACGTCCTGTCCGTTATCACCCCCCTGTGAATTAACACGTAACCTCCGTCTCCTCTCTCCTCCCCCACACGGTCTCACCCTTTCGCCCCACTCGATAGGAACAAGCAATTTCCGTTGTATCCGGGCGATTCGTTACCGGAAACGGACGTTTCGTCCTTTGTCTTTTCTCGACCACTGTACACGTGGTCGGCTGTGCCGGGGCGGGCAGGCGGCTTTTCGTTTTGCGAGTACACACACACACATGCACACACGCGCATACGCGCATGAGAAAGGCAAACTCCGAGGAAACGGACGAGGGCAGACGCATAAAGCTTCAGGCTGACACTTGGAGAGTTCAGCAACCCTCCGGCTATAGATCGCATCCCCCTTCGCTGTTCACATCGACCTGCTCTTCCCGCCCCCCCCCCCCGCTTCTCCGTACCCCCTCGTGTAACTGCAATTCCACCCGCCGTGATCGACTTTCTTACGCCGTACCGTCCACTTTTTTTATTAGCTGCCTCGCTGTTTATTCGGGCGAATTGGCAGCGCGAGCGCGGACGCGCGAAAAAACATTGTCTATTTCCTTAAAACTTTTTACGCCCGCTACGTGATACGGACGATCTGCTCCGACGTGACCCGCGAAAATGTTTCCCCGACTACCGCGTGGACAAATAAAAAGACCAAACGGAAAATGAAGAGCGTCAAGACGTTACAATTGCGGCGAGTGGCTCTCGGGGAAGAAGATACGGAAATACAGATGAGAAAGAGTAAACGGGGGAAGCGGGTGGCAATTCTCTGGAAACATACCCCGGTAGAAATCATCTGCTCGGCGGCTAATTCACGCGTTCGCGAACTTCGCACCTCTCGCGCAACTGTGCTGATCGATTTCTCGGTTTTGATCGATCGTATGCTATAAATTAGATGCCTGATTTACGGATTATCGCACACTTCGGTACTTTGAACGTGGAAAAGAGTTCAATGTTTCTGCCCTTTCGTACTCTCTAAATTTTTTGGAGTGGAGTCTCACCCTGTTGGAGTGAAATTTCACTCGAAGAAGTAATGAAAACCAGAAGAATATTATTGTCGCCAGTAGTTGATTGAACACAGGAAGAAAAATTATTTAACGAATTTACGCTGGCTGGATGGTTTAATTTATCAATTTCTTCCAACGTTTTCGACCTTCCGGATTGTGGTGCTTTTCAAGGAAATATATATATTAGTTAAAAATTACATTGTAAAAAAATGTCATCCGTCTCTGAGTATCGGTCGGAGAAAACTGTGCTTGAAGGCACGTCCATCCGACACAACAGCTACAAGTAGAACTGATAATAATGAAATAATGAAAACACTGTCAGTCCGAATGGAGAGAAATTTCACTTTTTGAAAGAGTGCCATTATTCACTCTTTACTTGGATTGTTTTACCTTAATCGATTATTGTTAGCAGGATCAAATTTCACGAGAGCTTCGCTATTGTTTGCTCACTACAATCATCGCATGTAGAGACTGCATTCTAATATTCACAGCCAGTACTGAAAATCTATAATTTATGTGGCAGTTTCGCTTATTCTGCTGATTGTCGCGGAAAAGAACCGACCCGGCCCGCGTCTCACTTACGAGTTCGGCGGCCACAAACTAATGACTTCGCTTTAAAAATAAGAGTAAAATTCTTCGCTTTTTGCCTTGGAATTAATTCGCTCTATTGGAATAAACATTCACTCGAATTGAGTGAAGTGGCCAGTGGCACCATGGTTCGAGTGAAAATTTCACTCTAAAAATTTTAGAGAGTACTGATTGTATATTTTCCGCTAAAATTGAATTTGCAAAATGTACAAATAATTTCACCCTATTAACTCGCGCGGCCGACGATTCAAAAAGCTACGTAGTCGCATATGGCGATCGACCCGTTGGAAATTTTTCACAGTGCAGGAGGCATTTAGAACGTTAATTATTTCTGTGCGGAGTTAACCGTTTATTCGACACATGGCAGTGGTGCATAAACTCCTGGGCCACGGAAGAATCGGGCAATGCGGCGGTACAATCATAAACAAAAGATGGGTACTCACAGCCGCTCATTGCGTAGAGGGGGGGTCACAGAAATTTTTCGTGGTGTTCGGCATCATCGACAAGTCCGGCATTGGATACAACACTCTTTTAGGCCCCGGTGTGTCAATGATTGCGACTATAGCCGTCGTACACCCGCTATACACACCGTCTCAAAACGATATTGCCTTACTCCACATGCCACAGAATATTCCCTTTTCCGGTAAATATATTTAAATTACTATTCCTCCTTCTTCCTTCTCTTGCGCTTTATTCATATGGCGGCGTTATTTAATTATTCTATGGAAAAGACGCGGAGAATTAATAACGATATGAATAACAAATAGTCTCATAAATGTGGAAAACTCAATAATGGAAAATAGTATTGTTTATCTGTACACTAGGAGTCACTAATGCCTTGCCATATGAATTTCGGTACATGTAGGATAGATACACATTTTCCATGTATGTATATTCAACATATAGAAATGTGTTGATACGTGCGCAAAATTATGTGGGAAGGCATCAGTGATTCCTAGTGTACACAGCTCTTTTTGCAATCTTTGAGATGTACTACAAAAATATCACAAATTGACACGTTCCGCTACGTGTTTCGGTTCCGAGTCGGTACAAAGTTTTACGATATTTAAAATACGTGCGACTCATGTCAGATCTGTGTTACGTAAAAGTTGTCGTTATTTTTTATGGCGGTGACTTTACACCTCACAAAAGCTGAGTATACATTTCACTAGTAAAATCATAAAATTTGCAAAAATTCTGCGTGACGCCGCGTTGTCCCACGATTACTAATTTTTCCAAATAAATTTAAGACAAAATTCTCTCCGTGTACAAATTTGATACAATATAAATACGAAATTATTGATTGAACATATTATAATATTTCTCTATTTCAGACACAATTGGGCCAATAAAACTCGCATATAATCGGGACGAACACTTTACGGAAAGAAACGCTTTTGTGGTCGGTTGGGGAACAAATGGTATGACTAGCCAAGATTCGACAAAACTCAAGTACACCACATTGCCGATTATAAACACCAATGTGTGCCAGCAATACTGGTATGTCGACGAACGGCACGTTTGTACGGCCGCAGGACTGGGGCGAGACTCTTGTCAGGTAAAATATTATAATAAGGCTGCAGTTTTAGTCAAAATTATTAGGCACCTTCATAATCATATACTGTACTGAATCTAATATCAGGGAAGGCTTTTATTGTTACAGTGAAAGTTGGTTATTACATAAAAGCAATGAACGCTCTTAAACAACTTTTAAACAATAGAAATCAGTCTGGTGTTAGATTTAGTACAGTATAACGATTATAAGGCTGTCTAATAATTTTGACCAAGGCTGTACAGTTTATTATAATATGCGACAAAATAAATTATATACACGTATAAGTAGGATATTTTATCGCACAATGTGAATCACCTCGTTTAAAGTAGCTTTAATAAATAAAATTTGACGGGGTCTCTCTTATCGTCAAGTTAGTAATTAATATTTTATTTTTAGGGCGACAGTGGACCTCTCATTGTAGTAGATGAAAATGGCATAGACGGTCAAGTGGGCATTGTGAGTTACGGAAACGTACGTTGCCCTAGCGACGCACCTGGAGTCTTTACAAGGATTTCTGAATACAAGCACTGGATTGACCAGGTGGTATCTCGCTGAGAAACTCGTGTGTGTGCATGGTAATACTTCCTTAGGTATCAGATAGAAACTCATTAACCGTATTTTGTAGAAAAGTTACGAAAATGTATTGAAGAAAATAAGAGAAACGAACAAGCGTGGAAAAAATACACCTAAAAAATATCCTTGCCCATCTAATCGGATAATCAATTACATATTAACAAACGGGTATATTCCATTAAATTTAATATCCGATGAAAAATATCATCGGTTCTTTTATTCAATTTTATCGGTAACTGCAATTTCATGGGATAAATTCCATCGAATATATCCATACTTTAATCGGAAAACTTAATAAAAACAACCGATGGTTAATTTTCCATCGGAAACGCTACTTAATTGACTTATCCAATGGAATTTTTTCTCTACGCAGTGCGTAATTTCATAGTATCGTGTGAACGATAATTTAAATGTATCTATAAAACTCGCTTATGACCGAGACCGAGACATTTATTCGTCTTAACACAAACGGCTAGTTCGTATTATAACTAAATGGATTTTTGGATATTACCCGAGAAAAGCTGTAAAATTAAATTAAAATAGAATTGAGAGACATATATAAAGAGAAATTAAAAAAGATATGGAACATGAATGACATGTAAAAAACGTGGTTTAAGAGAAGGGTGGCCCGAGCGAAGCCGGGTAAGGCCGCTGGTTTATTATAATTTCATATTATTGAAAAGGACCATCTCGGCTGATCGAAACGTCTGACGTTGAAATAGACACATATTCATATAGTCACGTACGGACGAAATTCCAGTAATGTTTTTATCTTAGAGTTCTCTTTCCACTAAAGATGGAAAGTTCTGTTTCTTCGAACCCTCGGGTAGAGTTGCTCTGTTTACTGATAAAATTCCAGTGGGCCATGTAGCCAAAGAGCACTGAATTCCGAGCCCAGATGATACAAACTCTGAGATATCCCTTCTATCTTCTACTAGATTAAGTCCCAAATGGTGGGAAGCCCCAGGAGGGGAGGGCCTCGTCATTTCGGGGTACAAATAGAAGCTCTAAACGCTGTAGGCAGCAATTTGGTATTCACTATTCAGCATTAGACTCTTCAGGCGTAAAATTCTTGTTCTGTTCGGACTTGGAAATTGATGATCATCTTGCAACTTAGAGACACGAATAAAAGGTAAGCCACTGTAACCGGAACTGATGTACTAGTGACACGGTCTAAGATATTTCTTCTAAAGTATCTTTCTATAAAGATGTATAACATTAAAATAAATTAATTTTACTGTCACAATTATATTGTAATTATGCAGGTCTTTGAAATTTACATTATAAAAAGATTTGTTAAGTTGAAAAATACAACTAAGTTATACGCGTCTGCTTGAATTTCTGTAATTTTTAATAGAATTTCTGCAAAAGTTATTTTGTTTAAAAATTAAAATTATTATCAGTAGACTTGAAAAGAATACATATACTTATATACGTACTACATACGTACATACACACAAAGAAATGCTGTTGAATTAAAGAAGTTGCTTGAATGAAACGTTAACGTCACGGGCTGCCACCGGTTTCTTGATACAACATTATTTTCTTGCCGTGTACATACGTGCACACACATACGTCAATAATCTCGTTAGTTGTCATTGTTGCCTGAATATCGCGACTACATAAATGGGAAATTTGCAGGAGCGGCGCGCGGAACAGTCTACCATGAATGTGAAAAGTGTGAAGATACTTTTGTGCCTTGCAATCAGTTTGACAGTATGTCAGTATGCTTGCAGTCATCGAGGGTCACTGTATCTTACCCCGGACGTCTACATCTCCCCCTCCCCCTCCCCCTTACTACCGTGGTTCTGCAGAAGCGACATATCTTCCGGCAAAATGGTCCTTCCCGTGCATACACGTGGTGAGGAAAAAGAAAAATTCAACAAGCGTTAATCAATTTTTTAACTCATACAGTTTGATAATTGTTTTATAAATTAGCGGTCTAGTAAATATAATATACAGGGTGTCGGATTCGATTTGGACCACTCCAAAGATTATAGTAGATTGGGTCAAACTGAGAAAAAAAGTTATATACCATTTTACAAAATCCGTAATTATTATCGCGTAATTAAGAAAAACGTCTGAGCCAATAAGTGCACGGAGGAGCTGAAGACCGGACTCGGCAGACATGCAAAATGGTGTATTATTCTCCTACCACCAGAAAAACTTTTTTGGCGCGGTGTCATATGTCGCGCGTTCGCTCGCTGCGCGCCGTTCGCCCGCTCACCGCTCCCCGCTCGCCACGGTCTTTCATCAATCGATGCATGACTCCACCTCTCGTTATCGGATCTTGAGAGATGTCAACAGATACACCATTTTGCATGTCTGCCGAGTCCGGCCTTCCGCTCCTCCGTGCACTTATTGGCTCAGACGTTTTTCTTAATTACGCGATAATAATTACGGATTTTGTAAAATGGTATATAACTTTTCTTCTCAGTTTGACCCAATCTACTATAATCTTTGGAGTGGTCCAAATCGAATCCGACACCCTGTATAGAAGTCTGTGGTAGTAAATAACATTTTTATCGAAGCGACGATCGTCGCTTACTGTTTTTCGCCACACTGACGTATGTTTTGAACCACGGACTAAGACTGGAGTAAAATAGCGGACGGAACAGATGCGCCGCTCGGAAGGTTTCCATACATGGCAGTGGTGCACAAACTCCGGGGTGATGGAGCAGTCCAGCAATGCGGCGGTACAATTATAAACAAAAGATGGGTTCTCACAGCCGCCCATTGCGCAGTAACCTACCCCTACCCGCGAAGATTTCTCGTAGTGTTCGGCATCATCAACAAGTCCGGCATTATTTACGACACTTTTAAAGGCCACGGTGTGTCAATGATTACGGATGAAGCGTTCATACACCCGGAATACGAACTCGGTGCCAACGATATTGCCTTACTCTACATGCCACAGGATATTCCCTTTTCCGGTAAATGTATTTAAATTAATATTCCTTATCCTTCCTTCTTTTGCGCTTATTTATACGTCAGCGATATTTAATTATTTTATGCTATTTTGAGCTATTCTATCTGCATCCAAGATTTTCAAGTAATACTAATCAATTCCCTCAATTAATTCTGTCGATATTCAGTAACGCAAAAATAATTTTCACTTAAGAGGCACTAACCGAAATGTTATGTTGCTTAACTATAAAAGAAATGGTCAAAATTTTTCCCAGTGTAGAGTTACGAAAAATCCAAATAATTCGATTACTAATTGTGGGCCCCAAAATGGGTTGCTAACGGTTTTAATTTTTCCCAGGGTATGTCGTTTCTCAATATCAGTTTTAGAAAATTATTAGTTAAATACAGTATTTCTCTATTTCAGGCACAATTCAGCCCGTACAATACTATTATAACCAGAGGGATCCTTTTATTGGTAAAAACGCTTTAGTGGTCGGTTGGGGAACAGATGGTATGACTAGCCAAGGTTCGACAAAACTCAAGTACACCACATTGCCGATTATAAGCACCAATGCGTGCCAGCAATACTGGCATATCGACGAACGGCACGTTTCTACGGCCCCAGGACTGGGAGGAGGTGCTTGTCAGGTAAAATAACAAAGCTAGCTTTAGTCAAAATTATTAAATACCCTCCTAATTATATACTGTACTGTATCTAATATCAAGAAAGGCTTTTATTGTTCCTAATTAACAATGGAAATGTAATATAACATGGGTGTTATATTACATTTATCTTGTTGAGTAGGAAATTGGAATATTGAGTTACGTAACTGTTACTTGGCGTTTACTGGAATGTTAAAAAATACAACTTTAACATTTTTTCTTTATTTCATTTTATCGACGACCGGGTCTGAAATTTCGCGTACTGATAGATAAAGTTTACAACTACAACATACTTAAATTTCCATTTTTTTTCTACTTTTGGTCGGTTTATGCAGGAGCCACCTTACTCATAGATTCTTTAGAAAATTTCGTAACGAAAATTCTGATGCCAAAATGTCGAGGCTATAATAATTTATAAATAATAAGCGATTATATTTCACAAATAATAGGCCTGAGATTTGACAAGTGATAAAAGTGTTCCTAGGAAAGTCGCCCTTTTTATTTAATTCAAGTAAAAATTGGCAACATGTTGTAACCTCAAAGTGTTGCAGCTATCAAAGTGGTCGATCAATATCAGTTACAATGAAGGTTGTTACTATGCTAAAAAGGGCGACATTCATAGGAAGACTTTTATCATAGTAGGTCCACTCTCTGTCGGCCCCTTTGATCTTTATCACTTGTCATGTCGCCGTACCTGAGCACGCGAAATCTCAGGCCTATCATTTGTGAAATATAATCGCTTATTATTTCACAAATATTATAGCCTTGGCATTTCTGTATTAGAATTTTTGTCTTAAAATTTTCTAACAAAACTATGATTAAAAAGATGTCCGGTGGTTTTAGTGTACCCTGTATAAAAGCAATGAGCTCTCTTAAACAACTTTTAAACAATAGAAATCTTTCTGGTATTAGATTTAGTACAGTATAGTGATGATAAGGATGCTTAATAATTGTGGCTAAGGCATAATAAGGCTGTATATATAGTTTATAACAATACGCTGCAAAATAAATTATGTACAA